GTGAAGGACTCCGCCCCCCCCCCCGCCACACGCACGAATTTCGTGCACAGGGCCTCGAGTGTAATTAAAAAGCTTGACAAAGTATCTGAGGGGGGAAATGACAGGGTACTGTGTGAGCATAAGGGGGCAGGATGAGCTTGTAAACCAAGACCCACAGCAAGAGCCAGGAGAAGAGCTTTCAAGGAGCGAGAATAGCAGGGCGTGCAAAGGCCCTGGGGCAGGAGAGGGGATTGCAGCCTGGAGACAAAAGAAGCGGGGACAGGACGGTACCTCCGCTTCCATGGACATCTTACGGGTTTTGGAATTCTTCCGAGAAGTAATGACCTGTCTTTGGAGGGTTGTAAGCAGAGGGTCATCAAATGTGGTTTACTTTTCAAAAAGACGGAGAGCAAGAGGGTACAGCCAGAAGCCTTTCAAAGCCCCTGGGCTCCCTCCCCCCCCAAGTCTCCCTGTCTTGGAGGCCGGCCAGGGGGCAGGCAGAGAGGCTCAGACAGGAAGGAGAAAGAGGGCTGCAAGAGGAATGGTTAGCATCACACGCCTCCCACTCACTGGCGTGTGCTCGTCCTCACCCACTCACCTGGCAGCTAATTTGAAGGCTGTTTGTTTATGCTGCGTTTTCTTACTCATCTAATCACGGGCAGGGGAGGTTCTGCAAGTTACGCAGCCAATCCAAGAACTCGGAGGTCAGGAAATGGGGTGACAGGAGTGGGTGGGCCAGGGGAATGAGGGAACCCAGCTGGACGTCCAGGGCCTTCGCACCTGGGGCGGGCTTCTGTCCTGCCCCCTTGGACGCACCCACCCGCAAAGCCTGCCTCCGTAACATCTCCAGTACAGCCAGGCCCAGGCGTGTTCCTGTGATATCTCCCCTAGCAGCTAGGACCCGCCCCAACTGTGAGCATGCCACGCCGCGAATGACTAAGGGCTGCAGTCTCCTGCCATCCTCGGCCCAGCGTCCATCATGGTGATGGTGGAGGTGTGCAGCCAGCCAGTGGGTGATGCTTGAACCCCGATGAGGCCTGGAATGCCCTCTAGGTGTTGGGGGGCGGGGATGGGGGCAGCGAAGAAGCAAAGACCTGGTGTTGGCTTCCCCCTTCCTTGGACCTGGGCAGGGAGGAGGCATTGCACAGACCTGAGGAGCCTGACTTGGGAGGAGTGCGTGGTGCACGGTACCACCCAGCAGGGCCTCCAGAATCAAGTCCCAGGTCCTCACAATATTTTTTTTTTTAAAAAAAAAGCTTCAATAAGATTTTTTTTAACTACAAAAAGAAATAGAATCTATACTAATAAAAGGGTAATATGCTAAATAGAGCAGATAAACCGGACGTCCTGCCAGACAAAGCCATGGTGGCGGGGGCTGAGGCAGAGGCGGTTAGGAGTGATCAGGCAGGCAGGCGAGAGGTTAGGGGTGATCAGGTAGGCAGGCAGGCAGGCAGGCAGGCAGGTGAGTGATTAGGAGTCAGCGGTCCCAGATTGCAAGAGGGATGTCTGATGAGAGGGATGTCTGCACCCCGGGCCCGCGTCCATCATGGTGGTGGTGGAGGTGTGCAGCCAGCCAGTGGGTGATGCTTGAACCCCGATGAGGCCTGGAATGCCCCCTAGGTATTGGGGGGGTGGGGATGGGGGCAGCGAAGAAGCAAAGACCTGGTGTTGGCTTCCCCCTTCCTTGGACCTGGGCAGGGAGGAGGCATTGCACAGACCTGAGGAGCCTGACTTGGGAGGAGTGCGTGGTGCGCGGTACCACCCAGCAGGGCTTCCAGAATCAAGTCCCAGGTCCTCACAATATTTTTTTTAAAAAAAAAGCTTCAATAAGATTTTTTTTAACTACAAAAAGAAATAGAATCTATACTAATAAAAGGGTAATATGCTAAATAGAGCAGATAAACCGGACGTCCTGCCAGACAAAGCCATGGTGGCGGGGGCTGAGGCAGAGGCGGTTAGGAGTGATCAGGTAGGCAGGGGAGAGCGGTTAGGGGCGATCAGGCAGGCAGGCAGGTGAGCAGTTAGGAGCCAGCAGTCCCGGATTGCGAGAGGGATGTCCAACTGCCTGCGGGATCAGGCCTAAACCGGCAGTCAGACATCCCCCGAGGGGTCCCAGATGGGAGAGGGTGCAGGCCGGGCTGAGGGACACTCCCCACCTTGCACGAATTTTGTGCACCAGGCCTCTAGTTCTAAAAAAAATGTCAACACTTAGTCTTACGTTACAAGAGATTTAAAAGTGAAGCATTTCCATGCTTTGCCTGCTGAGCTGTCAATCGGAGGGTGTCAGACCAAACCAGAGGGCAGAAGCCAGGCCAGGCGCAGGGGGCCGTGATGCAAGCTGGCGACCCCGGCAGCCTGCACGTGGAGGCGGGAGGGGGACCCCAGCAGGAAGCAGGGTGCAGACGGAGCATAACCGGCTGTGAGGAGAAACGTGAGCCTGGACACTGAGTCTGCCTCTGGGCACCCCGAGTGCAGACAAGCAGAGGATGCTGTGGGCCCATTTCACAGACCAGTAGGCTGAGGCCGACGGAGGCAGCCAGACAGCAACAAGCTCAGTCAGAAACCTCCCTCCCTGTGCCCCCTTTTAGTTCCAAGGACCTGCGGTCAGGTCGGGTGCCACACAACCTCGCGTGGGCTAGGCGGTCACCTGGGCATGACCTCACACGGATAAGACTTTGTCCAGCAGCGCCCACATCACAGACATGACTTTTTAGCCGGACCGGTTACACTGGCCACGGTGTCAGGCGGGTTCCAACGTCATTTCCACCACGACGAGACCTCAAAAAACACTGTGATGATCTCACTCATTTATGGATAATCAAGACCATTATAAACTGATGAACAAATATAGATACAGAGGGAGAGCAGCATCGAACAGACGGTCAAACTGCAGCGGGAAGGCCGGGGAGGGTTGGGGGGTAAGAGATCAACGGAAGGACTTGTATGCATGCAGATAAGCATAACCAATGGACACAAGACACTGGGGGTAGGGGGAGGCCAGGGGAAGGTCGAGAGAGAAAAAATAAAGGGGAGACATATGTAATACTCTTTGTAATACTTTAAGCAATAAAACAAAATTTTATTTTATTTTTTAAATATATTTTATTGATTTTTCACAGAGGAAGGGAGCGGGATAGAGAGTTAGAAACATTGATGAGAGAGAAACATCACCGGGACCTTTCAGTCCGCAGGCCGACGCTCCATCCACGGAGCCACACCGGTTTCGGCAAAACAAAATTTTAAAAAGAAAAAAAAACAACGCTGTGATGGCCAATGGGGTTGAACGTCACTTCCGGCCCAGCCATTTATCAGGGGAGTTGGAGCCCCGTACACCAAGGTGGTGGGTCCGGTCCCCAGTCAGGGCACCTGCAGGAATCAAGGAATAAATACATCGCTGTGTGCAACAACAAATGGTGCTTCTCTCTCTAAAAACATAATAAGTCCGTAAAACGGCGTCATTTCAGATGCAACAACCTGGCGGCTGCTCCTAGGTCAACTGGGGTTAAACGTCATTTCCATCCTCAGGAAGGTCAACGGGACGGTGCGGTCGCACTCAAATAAACGTCATTCCCGCGCCGTGAAAAGTGGCGCTTGGACAGACGTCATATCCGTCGCAGAGAAGGTCAAAATGACCAGGTGAACTGATTAAAACAACGTCACTTCCGTCGCGGAGGAGGTCCGGTGTGTGTAGTCAAGGTCCAAAAAAGTCATTCTGGCGCGACGAAAGGTCGAAGACGAGGGTCGCGCTCCAAAAGCGTCATTTCCGGCGCAAGGAAGGTCCTAACGGCTGCGCTGTCGAAGGGGAGCGACGTCAAAATGGCTGCGAATCGGCCCGGGATTCACATCCCTTCCGCAGCACAGGTCCAGCTGAAACGTCACGCTGCCTGCCACCCCCAAAGCGGATTTACACGTCTCTTCTGCCGCGTCTGAACGTCACGCCTGCTTGCGGCATGACGTCATCGGCCACGTCATTTTGGCAGCGACCGGGCATCCCTCCGAGTTTTGGTCACGCCGGCCTCAGCGTCGCCCGGGCTTAAAATTCGCCTGGGCCGCGAGCTCTCGGGGCTTGGCGGTCGTTTCCGCCGCGACGTGATGTCGGGGCAGGGCCACATCCGCGGGTGTGGACCTCACTGGGGCCGGGGGGACAGGACAGGAGCCCCTCGCCGGATGGGACGGCGGCGGTGAATGCGGTCCATCCCTGAGCCGACTTACTCCTGCAGGTATGGAATCCCTTTATTTTATAATTTTTTAAAAAATATTGTATCGCAAATCAGCGAGCTGGACCAGACGCCTTAAGGAGCCGATTAGTTAGGAGTCATCTTTACTGCGCGCAGATTCAGAGCAAATTCTGAACTCCCAGAGGAGGGAGCATTCTCTCTTTATATTCCTTTCAGGTCCTTTTGTCAGTTGTTTTCAAAATATATATATTTTATTGATTTTTTACAGAGAGGAAGGGAGAGGGATAGAGAGCCAGAAACATCAATGAGAGAGAAACATCCATCAGCTGCCTCCTGCACGCCCCCCACTGGGGATGTGCCCGCAACCCAGGTCCATGCCCTTGACCGGAATCGAACCCGGGACCCTTCAGTCCTCAGGCCGAGGCTCCATCCATTGAGCCACACCTGTTAGGTTTACCCAACTTTTTGAAGTGTGCAGATGACTTGATTAGGAAGTCCATCAAAAAGCATATACGGCGGGCCGGCGTGGCTCAGTGGTTGAGCGTCGACCCATGAACCAGGAGGTCACAGGTTCGATTCCCGGTCAAGGGCACAGGCCCGAGTTGCCGGCTGGATCCCCAGTGTGGGGCGTGCAGGAGGCGGCGGATCCATGATTCTCTCTCATCATTGATGTCTCTGTCTCTCCCTCTCCCTTCCTCTCTGACATCAATAAAAAAAATATTTTTAAAAAAGCACATACGACTGACCAGTTAACATTATCAACAGAAAAAACCCCTCTGTATTTTCTTTCCGAAACCCCAGTTCTTCCCCACTGGACCTTAGTCAGGGCTGAGCATGTCTCCCCTGGTTACAGAAACATCGAGAACGTGGGGAGCATCCTGACCAGCCTCCACCACTGTCGTCCTCTCTCCCATGGCATCACCTGTTCCTGGAATGCCCCTCCTCGGGTGCAAGTGTGACTGGGGCAAAGCCTCCTCCTCCTCTCTGTTGTCCCCTGGATAAGGTCTCCTCCCGTTAGCATGGCTTTAGACCTTTTATGATCTGCCCTCTGACCACCCCCAGCCTCTCTTCCTCTGGTGGTTGGGTTCTGGTTTATATGAAAATGGCAGTCTGTCCGTGCCCCCCCCCCCCCAT